GTATCATGCATACATATATTTAGTTCTTAATTTTTGAAATTGGATATTTGTCTCTACAAAATAAGTCTACAAATCACGTTGTGAAGTGTTTATAAATAGGTAAAAATACGTGATGTGTCAGTAGATAGTACTTATGAATAATTCAAAATGCATATGTGAATAAAAGTAGCATAATAATATCCGATTCTACTACATATTCATAATATGCCATGAGACCAAACTTAATACATAATATTGTCTTCCATTTTTGGCTTGAAATTGTCACAAGTCAATCAAAAAGTTCTTGTTAGTCATATTTTCAACTAGGAGCGTTAAGTGTTTCGATTAAATTGATTTTTAACTAATTTGCAAACAGAATCGTTCAAAATGGTTTGAAAAAAATTCAAACGTAAAAATATCAAGCAAAATTATAAATTTAAATATCAATCAAATTAAAGAAAAATGACAATAAAATCACTAGTGTCATCGTTGCCATTGATTTGAGAGTGAAAAACGCCAATATCGTGGAGCTTCTTGGTTTTGAGCTTGTGCGGCGTGAAAACAGAAGACGAAGAGGGTTTCGACTTTGGTGTATACTGTATGGACTAACTGTCAATGAAAGTTGTGAAATGAGGAGAATTACAAAATTTGGTAATGGACAATTGATCAAATTTTCTATTTTTGCATTAAAATATTAATAATTATGTTTTATTTAGAGGTTAAGGTGGCAATTTATCAATCTAATTATGGTAGAAATTTAATTTTATTATTATTTAAAGGTATCTAATTTGTTTTCAAATAAAACTTCGAAACATAGATCAAGTCGTTTTAGAACTCTTATCTTGGATCAAATCAATCCCGTTGACGTTTGATGATTTCAGTTCAATTTTTCTACTCTGTAGTTTTTGTTTTACAATCCTAATTCCAAGATCCAATTTATCAATACAAGAGCCTTTAGTCAATATTCAATCAACTTTAACGCCCCCAGGGCACATCTCCAAGTGGTAAAAGGGGAGGGTGGAGAAATTCAACTTTGCTTGAGGCTGCTGCGTCAAGGGTTCGAATCCTGAAATATGGATTTGACTCTTGGGTAAGTGCAAGTGTACAAGCAGCCTTCCACCCTGTACCCTTGGAGGCATAACCTGCGATTTACCTCCCTCACGATACTCCAGGGCAGGAGTGGTGGGGGATCCTTAAGGTTAGGGTTTAACCTTTTTTTTTTTTTTTTCAATAAAATTTAACAATTAAACATTTTAGAGCATAAACTAGTATTTAAATCAGAGTATACCGTCACGTTACAGGTGACCGACAGAGAACCACGTACGTCATGTAACAAAGTTCTTCCACTAGTAAAATACAAAATAACATGAAACACGAGTACAAACGTGACTAATACGCAACCTATACCACTTAAATTACTCGTCCTGGTCCACTCACACTGACATATATTAATATTATTAATATTAATATTAATGTTATGGATAAAGACACGAGAAGATCGGTCAATATAGGAGTTCAACTAAAGGTACGTACCTCGTCATCTTCTTCCTAACAAAGGTGGGCTTGACTTTGACTTCTCCAAAGAATTTCAATCCTCATGTTTCCCAAGTCTTTTCTTAATCATAAACGAGTTACCTTAAATTTTATAAAAAATGTCACATTCGAGCATTCGTTTTCTACTTTTAACTATTTGATACAAAAGTGAAAATAAAGTTCAAATTTCAAAGTACAAACATTTAAAGCATGGAGTGAAAATCGAATTCTTATAATTTTGTTGATTTTTTCTTTTTCAACTTACATGGAATTAATTTGTCGTTTCCACTTTTACAATCAAACGGATCCTTAGAAATCATGGTTAAAACTTAAACAACCACTTTAATTTCCTCTATTTGAATTTTTTTTTTCGATACACTTTTTGCTTTCTCATTGCTACTTATATGACTCCGAAAGTGTTTAATTGTGCTTAAAAGTTTCGTTTAATTTGCTTGAAAGTATGTACATCTTTTATTATTTTCTATATAAAAAAAAGGTCAGTTTATAAAAAAATAAAAATAAAAAAGATTTTAAAAATGTTGTACTTAAAAGTGAAAATTTTGCTGTACAGTTAATACCGACTTCTTGTAATCAACGAACCCACCTTTTACTTTTCCTGCCGACGACCAACTTTGAGTTCCATTTCGGCTATAAATAAATGACAAAATAGGATTATTTTATCAACTACTCTTCACATCTTCCTCTCTACCTTCCTACCACTTGATAAGGTCTATGTATTATATATACATCTTCTCTTCATTGGATTTTGCTTCAAACATTAGATAAACACAGAAGTTTGACCAATTTGAGAGCATTTTCTGAAGAAATTGAAGCACTTTGAAAAACTTGCAAAACTTCAGTATCTGAAGCTATGGAATTCACTAGCCTGCTGAATACTTCATTGGATCTTAATGCCAAACCACTAAGAATTCTCGACGAGGCACCACTGCTGCGGGTATGTGACTCTTTAGAACTATATATACTGTACTTATGACATGTTTGGTAGAGAGGATCTGAGAGAAACACGATTTAAAATCTTGCCTTTTGAGCTGTGAGCAATAAATCTCATGTACCAAACATGATCTTAGTTTTCGGCTTTTCAAGAATATTGACGGACGAACCCATTTTTTTTTTTTTTTTTTTTTAAGTCGATGGCCGGGACGATTTATGAAAAGCCAAACATGGGACAGTGAATTAATTATAGGATACATATGAGTACGAATAAAACAAACCACGGTGTTTGTATCCATCTCAAATAAAGTATGTGACATTAACATTAAAAACTAAGAATAAACATAAAATTCCATCGGAACTACCTCACTCAAATTAAGGAAATACAGCATGAACATGAAACTAAATATGAAAAAAACACACAGTCACTCAGATTCCAGAATAAACGTTACTGGTAATTCAAGCTCTAGGCTTGCTTCTTCCCTCATTAGCTTGCTTGAATAGCTTTGCTTGAGCTGCTGCAGCCTTGTTGGAGCTAAGTGCAGCTGCAAAACTATCCCTAACTTGCCTTGTTGTGTAAGGGAAGCCTCTGTGCACCATGGAGTTCAGTAAAGCAGCCGTGCCTTCCCTGTAGAGTGCTCCGAGCCCATCTGGTCGGCTGTTCGAAAGAGCTTGTAGCAGGTTCGTGCTAGATCCGAGCCCAGGTACGCTAGCCACTCCGAATGCTCCACCGACACTTCCCAACCAGCCGAACAGTCCCCAGATCAGTCCAGGGTGAGTCCTCCAGTAACTGCAGTTTATCGAACAAAACAAAGTTAGTGTCAATTTACTCTTAGGTCAGGCCGAGACTCCTCCAAAGTCTGTACTATGTTTATTTTTAATATTAATAAAACATGCCACCTAGTGTGATTTGAAAAATAAAGATGAATAGTATTACTTACATGCAAGTAAAAGGCGGCGAGTTTGGATCAAATGCAAATGGAGGTGATGGAATCGATGGAGTTCCGGGGTAGATTGGAGGAATGGAAGTTCCAGGGTCGATTGGAGTGGTTGGAGGACTTAAAATGGTGGGTGGACTCCCAATGGTGGGTGTAGTTGGGGTAGAGCTTGGAGGGGGGGTATAGTACCCACCACCACCTCCGGTGGGAGGAGAAGGAGTAGTATGGTGGTGCCCTCCACTTGGGGGGTTTCCGCAGTTTCCAGCTGGTGGCGTGCAGCCATAGCTTCCTCCTCCAGATGGAGGTGATGGAATCGATGGAGTTCCGGGGTAGATTGGAGGAATGGAAGTTCCAGGGTCGATTGGAGTGGTTGGAGGACTTAAAATGGTGGGTGGACTCCCAATGGTGGGTGTAGTTGGGGTAGAGCTTGGAGGGGGGGTATAGTACCCACCACCACCTCCGGTGGGAGGAGAAGGAGTAGTATGGTGGTGCCCTCCACTTGGGGGGTTTCCGCAGTTTCCAGCTGGTGGCGTGCAGCCATAGCTTCCTCCTCCAGATGGAGGTGATGGAATCGATGGAGTTCCGGGGTAGATTGGAGGACTGGAAGTTCCAGGGTCGATTGGAGTGGTTGGAGGACTTAAAATGGTGGGTGGACTCACAATAGTGGGTGTAGTTGGGCTAGAGCTTGGAGGGGGGTTATAGTACCCACCACCACCTCCGGTGGGAGGAGAAGGAGTAGTATGGTGGTGCCCTCCATTTGGTGGGTTCCCGCAGTTGCAAGCTGGTGGCGTGCCGCCATAGCTTCCTCCTCCATGAGAAGGTGTCGGGGTCCTATGGCCGCCACCATGTGATGGAGGAGTGTGAAAACCTGCTTTACAAATAAAGATATTAGGTGCTCCTACTGGTTCCCCCAAAAAAAAAAAAAATGAAAGAAAAAAAGGAAAACTAAGGACCTGTGGGTGGAGTTCCGGTCGTTGGGTCCGGAGAGTAATAGGTCTTTTGATCCTCGAATGTGGCTGAAGACACAACGGGAATGACTAAAATTTGAGCAACCAATGCAGCCATAATAGCCCACAAGAGCACTGGAGCATGCTTATTTCTCTTCTGCTCCATTTTCCTTTGCTTAATCACAAAAGAAACGAGCAAAAATGAGAGAAGAAAGAGTGTGAGTTCTGAGAATTATCCAAAGGGATGGAGCTATGTATATAAAGAGTTTATCAGACACTGAAGTAAATATAAACAGGTGAAGAAGTGTGTGGTTAGTTGGAATTATTGCAGGTGCATTTAAATCTACTTTATATCTCACAATGTATAATATATGTGGTCTCTCAAAGGAACATCTCTCCATGTTTGTTTTTGTTCTTTAAGATTTGAATATATGCACAATTTTATAGGCATGGGTGGAATTGAAATTGCTTAAAAAATTTAAACCAACTTTCTTTTGAGTGGTTTTTGTCCATGCCACATTAAGCTTCCACGTCAAACATGTTTTGGAAGTGTTTATAAATACTAATGGATAAGTAGATACTACTTGGGATCCCTCGAAATGTATAGATAAAACATGATTGTTTACAAATCGAGAAAATTATTAAGGAGCAAGAACATGTAATGTCACGTTGTTTTGAACCTGTGAAAATTTGCACCATTTGTACTCATCGTATTGATGAGGTGCAATGTCATTACCAGCTGTGTCTTTTTACAATGTGTTAACAAACCTATATATTTTGGTGCGACGATATATAGATTCACATATTCTTTATATTTTATAATTAAAGTCAAATATTTACTAGAAGACAAATTCCATTTTATTTCCATATGTATTTGCTAGTAGTGAAAACCTTTTTGACAGATAACACCTGACATATTCTCATTGGAGGATGGAAAAAAGAGCAAAAAAAAGGGGGGGGGGGGGGGGGGGGAATC